CGTAAACAGCAACAACCGTGCAGATGGGAATTTGTGCATATTGTGAAATATAAGGTATGAAGAAACTATTTTAAAACAATAGAATATAAAACTCTACTTTGTACCACCACGTACCACCACGCTAATATTATAAATGTGAAATTTTGTATGTATGTATGCTCATTACTTCTTAACGCTGAAACCGCTAGTCTAATTTGGATGAAAGTACACATCTGAAAAGATAGTTTTATTTAAAATGTCAAATATTCGCATAAATCTAAGAAAGATAGATAGTATTGAGATCCACCCTATATATATACGGGGTACAAAATATATACATATAACGGAAGCGTAACATTTTATTGTGTATATTTTTCCTGTTAAAATTCGATGTGGTTTGTTTTAGTTAGAATAGCTCAAATAAACACCTGTATGGTTTAAAACAATGTAGTATTTAATATGGCAGATTTTTTTACTACCAAAAATCGAACACACGACCAACAGATTCATCTCAGAAAGTTTTCTATGCCATATGGTGTTTATAAAACGCTATATAAAAGGTGAGCAAAAATAAGAGATCAACTGGACTTGTGCAAATTAAGTTAATATCGAGTTGAGTAACTATGCTCGTAAGTAGTTGTGCATCTGAACTGAGTTCATTTTGCTTCTAAAGTAATGAGGGAATAAAAACAAATGCTCTGAAGAAATCTTGTTTCCCAACCGCGTGCATTCTAAGAAAAATATTTATTTTGATTATAATCTTATAAGAGCTTGTTTTAAATTGTCAGATAAATCTTTATTTATCAAATTAGTTGATTTTTTAAAATAAATGGAATAAAAATTTAATGAGAAATTTTCCTATGTTTTTTTAAATCGACTATTCGTTTTAATTTCATGTTTAAAATATTTCTGATTACTTTACTTATTATTAATTTTAATGAATAAGTTGGATCGGGTAAATGAATTTTCATTTAATCTACTCGTGAGCTCTGTTAAAAAATGCTTAAAACTTCGAATTATTAACTTAATAAAAAATCGATAATATAAGAGATTCAAAATTATCATGAATAAATAGCTTATAGCATGTACGGCTGCACATTCGGAGGTCCTGGGTTTGAGTCCCGGGTTGGACCAATTTTAGTTATTGAATGTTTTTGTTAAGAAAGTCGCAGTAACAGCCCAAAGTTGTGAAATTGGCGGTTTTTCTCCTTCATGCCAAGGAGAGCATGTAAAGCCATCAGTTCTGCACCTGATTTCTCACCGTTCGTGTCGAATTATCGTCCCTTCGGAATTGAGAGTAACGGGAATAGAGAGTTCACTTGTGTCTGTGCGTACACTTAATAATATCTCAACAGGAGGACAATATTTAAAGACTAGCAGATTACTCTTGCTTCGCTCACTGAGGTCGTCTGTGTTAGTGAACAAATGTGAGTAACAAAGAAACAAACATAAAAACTTTCGCATTTATAGTCGAAATTCTTGAAAAAGACAAATCCTATCCTACTTGCTATTATTATAAAGCGTTACTCAAGAAAAAATGCCTTTTCTGTTGTTTAAATTTCAAAATCATATTTGTTCAAATGTCATATTTGCAAAATTCTTTTAGCTTTTGATAGCTTATTTATTGGGGAAAGGTAGACTATATAACAAATAACTAAGTTAGAATCTATAAATTGCATAATTAAATAGCCGCAAGCAAAACTAGCTATACATTAAACTAAAACCTGCACCTAGTAAATATTTATTTACCAAATCACTATTATAAATGAATTATGCAATATGGTTTTTTCAACAATATTGTTATAAAGTTAGAATTTCTCTCTAAAGGTTTTAGATATTTTGTAACTTTAAATATCTTGGCGCTGTTAAACTATTATATGCTGCGAACTATCCGAAATTCCTAACTTCTTGGTATTTTGCTAATCGATATCAAGCAAAGTTGATCAGTTGATAGTCTTGGAGTTCTGAAATAATCTCCGGTGAACAATTTACCTTTTTAAGGTTGACGGAATTTCATTATAGATAGATATAATTATAGATATTCCTGCGGTTTTGTTTGCTTTACTAATTATGACATCTATGATTTGTATAGACATCTGTAGAATAGGAAATTTAGATTGTAATGTAATATATTTTGTATACATAAATATATATAAACAATATAAAGACATACATACAAATAGGCTCCTTCATACAAGCATAGTACAAAAATCCGTGCTTAGGCGATCTCCTATTTATTTTAAGGGTTATGCTGTCAAATGCAAGGGTTGTCAAAAATACAAATGTTCATGAGGAACAGTGTAAAATTAGGGCGTGATAGAGCCATTTAGTAACAAGTTAGAATCATACGTGACACCTGTCAACCCTAAAGCTGTTTCCCGAATCTCATACTAAAGGAAATATGCCAGTCGGTATCACGTCATCCACGTTTCCTCCTGCACGTCCCGCACGCCATGCCTGGGCCTTCATTAGACCTCTATATAGATTAGAACTATGACATAAACCACTAAAGTGACATGACACAACATTTTACATTTATTATGTACTAACTGAACCCGCGGCTTCGCTCGTACTAAAAATACAAAAAACTCTCTAAAAGGATAGTTTCATACAAACTTTCATTCCCTGTTTTACCCCCTTATAGGATGAATTCCGAAAAATGCTAAAACACGTATTTATTTAATTGTATTGAAGAACATGAATACCAAGTTTCAAGTTATTCTGATCATAAATATTTTTTTTGGATTATATTATAATGTGTTTTCCCGTAGGTATTAATAATCTCGAGCGGTAAAAAGTAGCCTATGTCACTCTTCAGCCCTCCAACTAACTCCACACAAAAAATCACACTCACTACTCACTCACTCACACACACAATAGGTCACTCCGTTTTGACGTGAAAAAAGGATAAACAAAAAACAAACACACTTTGACATTTATAATATTAAGTACAGAAGTATAGATATGGCGTATCAGGTTACATTATGGTAACGCTATATTTTATCAATATCGCGTGCGCGGTGCGATCTTCCTTGTTCTCTATCAACGTAAAGAACAACATTGTAACAAGGTATTACTTTTGTGTGTAAAATAACTTTGCATATAGGTATTTTAAATCCGAATTTCAAATTGTATACGTAGTTACAATGTTATTCCTTGCAGGTCTTCTTATACCTTCATGTATGTATAATTGCTCACACACTTTGCTTGGGTTCGCCTCAAAATAAAAAAAAAACTTTCCCACAGGAACGGTACATTTTTCCGGAATAAAAAATAAGCTATGTGCCATTTTTCAGACTGTAATCTATCTTTGTGCCAAATTTCACCCAGATCCATTCAACCGTTCTGGTGTTACTGAATAACAAACATCCATCCAAACAATCAAACTTCTAAACTTTCACATTTATTATATTAGTAAGAAGCAAGATACGAAGTAATGTTTTCTTTGCTTTGTAAAGTTGTAAATGCGTACCTAACGCCTATATAAGTATATGAAATATACGTGCATCCCTAGGTACCTAGGAAAGGTCTATGTGGTACTCCAGATTGTAGTCTATCTATGTACTAAACATCATCCAAATCCAACTACCCGTTATAGCGTAAAGGAGTAACAAACAAACATACATACATACATACATACAAATTTTCACAATTATAATAAAGTCCAATGACGCCATTATAAGTTATATAAAAACTTAATTTTAAATAAAAAAGAAGTATTTGTAATTGAATTCAAAAATGTACAATTCAAAGAAATAGTTTTATAAAACGGTACGAGTGACTGCTTCAATTTAACTTCGCAGATTAACTGTAGGTACAGATAAAGACTGTGCAGGATAGTCCTAGACCACCTAAGTTTAATATCTACGAGTTTGTTAAATTATTGCTGAACCAAGATATGCTTGAATGAGATTTTAAGTTACGATAGACATTATATTATTTGAGCCAGTGTATTTGCAAATTGCAAATCTTAATCTAATAATGACGATAAATCTATACTAATATTATAAAGATGTAAAGTTTGTGAGTTTGTCAGGTTGTAGAGGGTAATCTCTGGATCTACTAAACCAATTTAGATGAAATTTGATAAGAAGAGTTTGACACCCTAGAAAATACATAGGATTTTTTATCCCGGAAATCATCCTTTAAGGGGGTGAAAATGGGGATGAAAGTTTGTATTAGGAATCAACTTAGGGACGAACCCGAGCGAAATCAGGGTGAGTCGCTAGTAGCAAGAATTTTAGATACTTTTCCAATATATTAAATAGACTAACAAAGCACATTTACTAAAGAAGTAAAAAAATAAAGCAAATCGACTAAATCACGCAACGACAAATATTACCGTGATTATGTATGTACAGTGATTAATAGTATTTTTATGTTTTGATTATAATATTTATTTAAAAACATTTTTAATTGGTAAACCAGACATTGGGTAATTTGGGTACATTGGGTAATTTTTGTTAAAGTGACTCGGTTACTATGAATTTAAGATAATTTCAGTCATTATGGTCATTTTCTGCATTTTACATTAATTCCAAGATCGTAAAAACCAAATGAGTTGAGATACATATTTGTTTTATTTTAACTACCGCAAACAAATTTCTTTAAAAAACAGTTCACAAAAGAAAAATATATCTAAATTTAATTATATTCAAAATGCAGTTACTTTAATCTTTATTAAAACGTTTTTTTTTATTAAACAGCGATATAAAATAATTATTAACGATATTTTTTTTCAAATAATTATATTTGATACAAAAGACGAAGTAGATTCTCTCCCTCTCTTACAGAGAAAAAATAATCAAACATGAATAGTATGGTACCTAAAAATCATTCAACCATACGAAAATTTAATTAAAAAACTTACGTATATACAACATATATGATACATTATGAATATATTGATAAAATTCAGATACTAACAAAATTTCCACTAAAAATTCCTTAAACTAATATTATAATTAATTCTAGATGATTTTTTACAAAATGCGCGTAAACTACGCGCTAGCTAAATGTCAGCTAACGTAACAAGTTAACAAAACGAGCGATGGATGTAAAACCGAAGCCTCTCCCCGTTGCATTGCAAGTGGATTCTCTCCTGTAACGATTTGAATATTGATAATTCGAGCAATCCAATAGCACTGAATATATGTAAATCGATTTTGAATAACCATGAGATTAAGTGTCCATCATAGAACACAAACATAATATATTACTATTGATAATTTGTTAAATTTTATTGATTATATTAGTAATAATTGCCTAGGGCAAGAATCGAACTCGCCCCTACAGCATCTATTAAAAAGATGTTCAAATACATATCCAGTCAAAGATGAAGCAAATATATTTTTTTCTAAATATATTCAGATTTTTATAATTAAAGTGTACTTTATCATATAGGCTTTATTAATTTCCTTAAGTAAGAAATCTATCTTTCATAGATATGTTCTTTAAACTTACCTCTTAATACGTGTACGGAGACGGCAGACGCAGCAACGTCCGCCAGAGAGCAAGTGTAGTTTCCAGAATCATTTCTATTTGCATTCGCTATGTAGAGTCGAGACAAGGCACCGTTTGACGTAGCCTCTGTTTTCACGCTGTCAACAAAAAAAAAGTTGCTTCATAAAATACATATAAGCTGATATTTGAAGATGTCATTATTTTTATTTAATAATAAATAATTTGCGAGTTATGTATTTGCTAGTACAATAAAATGAAGCGAATGAAAATTCATAAAATGAAAAATACGAAAATACGAAAAAGTTGCGATTATTTCTTTTTTAAAATGAACAGTAAATCTATAATTTGTTAATATTGATAGTACCAAGTCAAAGTAAATGAAAAAGAACCCCAAAATTGCCTTTTGTTTCCCTTTCAAGACACTTATAAAGTACTCTAGACCCGCTATGGAAAGTTAACATTTTAAATAATTTATAGTTCTGTTTGGAGGCTACAAGGTCATAACTCGGGGACGTTGCCAAGTCAGACGGAATGACAGTTTAGAAATTGCGAGTCCAAGAAACCCTTAATGAAATCAGTGTTTTAATTAAATTCATTCAACCGTGATCATTCCCAAACAAAAGGCAACGAAATTAACTGCTACAATTTTCTTTCAAATAAATCTTGGCCCCTTTCACATACGTTTGGATAGGGACTATGTATAATTTTGTTGTATGGGAACAAAATTCAAATTGGTAATTAACGCATTGCAGTAATCCTTTTAATATATTATTAAGTTTTGTAATAGGAATCTGCTCAATTACTGTAACTATTGTTTCCATTTATTGGTCCTTCGTGCCGGATAAAGGAAAGTTGATCGAAAATTATAGAGGTTTCTATAAGAGTCCGAGATTGTGTTGGGAATTACGTTTTCGAAGTATATTTATGTTGCTATTGAGATATTATAGAAGTATTTTTTCATTAACAAAAATATTTTGTACAACGAAATTTTTAATATAACTTTTATATTTAGTTGGTATTAATGCTACTTTTGTATTGGTAGGTACTCAAAATATTTTAGGGATGTGTTTCAATATTAAAAGATTCAATACTAATGACTTCACAAAAAATTAATTAAATGAATCACGAGCCCTAAATAAACTGATATTCATATCACTTTATTCGTATTACTTACTGTACACTTTATTTATTAAGTCCTAACGGGTAATTGGTTGAGAATGTTAGTTTAATTGCTAAGTTCACCTATAAAATATTTTTTATATTTAGAATTATAAAATAAAACTCAAGATTTTACGACATTTTGCGGGCATAGTAAGGAGAATAATTTCTCATATCAAAGATGTCGTGTACAAAACTGTCGGCCGTGACCGAACCGGCTTTTAGAATTATTTAATAACACAACAACTGAGTCCATTGTTCCAAAAAAAGAGCAGTTACCTCGCTCTATAAAACTTTTTTTTTGGTGTTTATCATAATTTAGTAGTGTTCTACAATTATGTACATACATTGTATATATAATAGCAATTATACTAAAGTCACATTTGTGAAATATAATTGTGCTATATAATTTGTGGCATTTTCACATTTCCATCAAACATGATGTACGTCTAATGATCTGCCTCATACATATATTTTTCTCGTGAAAGGTCTCTTCTCTCAAAACAACAAAATTTAATACTATAATAAACTGCTACACCACCATTGTATACAGTATATAATAAACATATAAGTATAAGTATAAAATGATCTGAGTATTTGAAACAAACACTTTTCAGAAAGTGTTTTCTGCAGGCGAAAGTAGGACAAATTACGGACAAGACTCGGTTCGTTGATGTTAGGTTTGAAAAACTTTTATCTCCCAACTAACTTTGCTTTTGGTTTCATTTATTGGTAAACAAATGAAAATCTACTGCTATATAATTTGCCGGGGTGTTTCTATTAAGAAGTAAACTTTTTAATGAAGTGTAGTATGAAGTAAAGTTTTTAATATAATTGAATTCAATTGTTAATGGCTTCAAATTCCAGTTGAGCACAGATTACTTCACCAATGTCACGTAGAATGTAGAAGACACGAAGGAAATTGGTTTTAATATAATAAAGCTTTATTTACACAGTTTCCTACTAGTGACTCCCCCTCGCTCCGCCGTCCCTGTTTACGTATTAAGGCTGAGTATAGATTTCTCAGAGATTATATTATCCCGTAGTAAAAAGTATCCTATATGTTGACCCGGATAACTAGCTATCATCATACAAAACTCCATCAATATCCCTCTAATGCTTTTTACGTGATGTGGTGACAGACAGACAAATAGACAAAAATCCTAAAAACTATAGATTCGGCCTCTGTTTGGACAATAATGACTATTTAAATAAGATTCTCCAAAAAATATTTAATGTACAGATTCGACTAAGTTAGAATTTTATATGTATAGATTATTTTTTCTATCCACTTCTTAAAACATGTATGCCTAGCCCATTCATTCATTTATTTCTGATACGAAACAGTTTTTACATCAAATAGCCTAAATTAAAAGGAACCCTCGTTTGTTTGAAGTACCGTTACGATTTGTAGCAGATCGCACTAATTAAGTTTCAGTACAAAGTGGAAATTATCATTCATTAGATAACTTTAATTAAATTTTGTTGCTCATTCGAGAAAAATAATTAACATTTAAGCTCCACCTTTACTATGTTAACGATGCCATTATTTTTGATAGAAAACAACAAAAGTACGAAAATATTACTGATATAAGATATTTTAAATACAAAGTGTTAAAATTTATAGCTTTTTTATTGATTAAATTCTAAATAGAATAGTATAGTACTTCTACACAAAACCTATTTTATTTTTTTAATATCTCACTTGACTACCCTTCGGAAACGCCCGGCAAGATTTTAAGTTAAGGAAAACATACTTGACGCTAGCGCATGATTAATAATTAATATGTGTATTGTATTCAGCTCTTTTTAACGTCCCACTGCTGGGCACAGGCCTCCCGTAAATACGAGGGGGATCAGGCTATAGTATAATTATACCAAGAAAATCGACGAATCAAAAACTGCGATTCTAAAAGAACCTTCTTTATGGGAAAAGACAGTCAATGATCGGATATGAAAGTATTATAAAAAATGTATATCATGTCAGTATTATTTTTTGGTATTAGGATCATAATGTGTGTATCATGAAAGTTTAAAGTTTAAAGATTTATACAGAACTAGATTTTGCCTGCGGTTTCCCTTGCGTGGTATTCTAAGACGGGGATGTAAAGAAGCCTATGTCCATCCTATGCAATCTATATCCTTGCTAAATTTTATAGAAATCGGTTTAGTAGTTTAAGCGTGAAAATGTAACAGACAGAGTTTCTTTAGCATTATTTATAATACTAGCGACTTACCCTCGCTTTGCTCGGGTGCATCCCTGGGTACGCTTTAATTTTTTTGAGCGGAACCCTAATTCTTTTTCGAAAATAAAAGTAGCCAAAGTTACTCCTTATATAATCAGCTATCTGATAGTGAATGTCCCGTTAAAATCAGTCCACCATTTTGAAGATTAGCGGGAACAAACAGACAGACATTTTTTTAAAAAATTATGTTTTTCTTATAAGTACCGTATATTATTTCATATGCATTTAGTACAAAAGGTGTTATTTTCAAACGGACACTTAGATTTTGTTTATCTGTATAGATTAGTACCTATAGTATGGATAAATCTTTAATTTTCGTTCAGGAATTAAACATGAGGACTTGTTTCAATTATCCTGAAATGCAGTGGTTACACTTTTTTTAATAATATAATCTGAAATAGTTCAAATAAAAACTCGCGTGTTAAAATTTTGTGACTTTTGTGCATCGAGAATCGAATCGAGTCATTATTATCCGAAACGACATAGTGACGTAGCGGTAACGCACAAAACAACGCGTTTTAAAAAAGAGTACATAAATGTATATATATATATATATATATATATATATATATATATATATATATATATATATATATATATATATATATATATATCTACCCTAAAACATTTTAACAATCTACCCGCTAACCTCATTATGTACCCTTGAACATGGCGCCTGCAATTTGGTCAAAATATCGGAAAGTTATAGATAAATAAAAAAATATTTCATTTTTTATCAATAAATAACATATTATGTTGGTTTAACAAGCAATATCCTCTTTTAATATAATGTGAAAGTAACAAGCCCGATAGGATTTCCGATCGGAAATATAAACAAAAGCTTGTAAGCCAATTTCCATATTTCTAATTTTAGAAATAACGAGCTTCCATATAAACTTTTATCCCCTATTAAATCCCTTTAGGTGGCGAATTTTAAAAATTCCTTCCACATTATATTAGGAAACTTTTGCAACAATTTCATGCTTCTAGACCAAGCGTTTTAGATTATCATATGTGTCAGTCAGCTGGCGTTATCCATACTAATATTATAAATGCGAAAGTAATCTGTCTGTATGTTACGTTTTCACGCCTAAGCCGCTGAACCAATTTTCATGAAGTTTGGTACAGAGAGAGAAGGGACCACCATTGAGAAGGACATAAAATACTTTTTGTCGCAAAAATGAAACTAAAAGGGGTGAAATAGGGGTTAAAAGTTTGTATTATAAACGTATCATTTCTCAAGTTAAGGTCGAAAAATTCATTATATCTTATAATTTTGGTAAGAAATAAAGAATATTTCGGTGCTTATGACCAATCAAGGTAAAAAGGCAATGATTTCAAGTTTTTTAAAGCACTTATCCACTTTTCTATACATACTTATATATAGTCTATTCCATACTAGTCGTTAAATTATAAAAACACATGAAAAACGATCATACTCATAATTTGAAAGTAAAGCGTAGCAGTTTCCTCAGTAAAAAAATAATAAAAACACATTAATAATATTAGTAAAAACATATACTTAGTAGTAGAAAATTGTATAATTTTCGACCTACCTTACACCGCCTCTTTTGGTATCATAATTTAGAAGTCGCCCACCATGCTTCCAACTAACTTGCCTAGCGGGTTGTGGAACTTCACTCACAACGCATCTCAGTTCAATAATTGAACCTTCTTTGTAGAATTTGTCTTGAAGCGGTCGACCGCGTTCGTCCACTATCTCCACTTTTGGCACTGTGGAAAACATTAAAAATTAATGGTTAAGAAGTATGACGTAAATGCTTGAGAAAATGTTTCTTAAAAGAATGAATTTATGAAGCAATTTTATGGAATACTAGTAAATTTCAGCGATTAGACTCGCCTTTTTGTTTTTGAATAGTTGCCAATAGTCGATTAAAGTAGCTTGACGAGTCAAGATTTTTCTTTGGCTTACTTAACTTTAACAAAAATATGAAGTTAATAAATTCAAAACAATTATGTTTTTTTTTGTTCATCTATTAGATTTTTTTGTAGAGGCTGATAATATTTTAAGTTGAATGATATCTTTAAGATAATGATAGCTTTAAGATAAAAAAAAATTACTTTAAATGAATTTGTCCTTTCGGGTTTTTTCGCGGATTTATTTTGATTTTTGGTTCCCGACGCTTCGAATGCTTTACAGCAATCATGGTCACGGGAGAAACTAAGGCTTTAGACGTCTAAAAGTCATTATATAGTTGTTATAGATATTAACGTAAATGTAAGAAAGAATGACATTAAATAAAACACAAATAAAAACAGCGAACATTAACTTATTATTTTTTCCGAAAACAATTTTTTAGTTTTTGTTTCGGGAGAGATACAAATCCCAGTGTCCAATCTTGTTCTGTTAAGTATTCGAAACATCGGAAATCAAAAGTCAAATTAACACCGCAAAAAAAATTGTTTCATTTAAAAAATCAAATATTCGCGTAAATCTAAGAAAAAACTAATTATTCTCTCGTTAAAAAAAAATAAAACAATTAAAAAATATGATATAACCTTAAAATCTTTACCCTTTGACCGTTTAGCATTTATAATTATAATTCAGGTATATATTTAGTGAATATTCCTTTGCAAAAGTCAGGAAGCGTGAATAAGAATGAACATCGCTTTATCACTGCAGTGGCACAGAGCTCGGCAAATACGCGCCCATTCAAACATGATTTTCCACTCGCGTGAGCTTTTTGTTTTAAACACGTAATCTGATTTTGAAATCATAAAATAGAAGTGTCTTTGTGTAAATAGCTATCTATGTATTATGTTAAAATTGTTATTTCGTACCGCATTATCTATACATTTTCTGTTAGGGTTGACGGACTTCACATGTCTTTCGAAAACTTGTTAGATTTTCTTAAATATACAGGTTCCCTCACGATGTTTTCCTTCACCGTTAGGCAAATCATGTTAGAAATGATTCGCACATGAAAATATCAGAGGTGTGAGACCCGGATTTGAACCCGCTTAACTCGGTTTTCCAAGCGAGTGCGTTATCACTGGGCTACCACTGCCCAAATATAGTAATATTCTTTCCTAATTTGGACCTTTTCAACCGATCCGTAAAGTATATTAGTTTAAATATCTTTATAAATTATGATTATTGTTTTAATTTTATCTATCAATCGATTAATTATTATTAAATGAATTATCCGTATGTGAATCAAGAAAGAGTTCAAAATCTTTCAGAAATATTGGAAAAAATATTGTAGAAGAAAAATGCTAATACAAGCGGGGTTTCACTTAGGTACAGATTAAATAAAAAATTAAATAAAAACCTACATTTTAAACCATATTATTCGAAACATTTGTTTTCGTATTTCCGACTAACGCTTAGCCGATATTTACCTTTAAAACAACTTTTCTAACTTTTTAAACTTTGAAAATATTGATTCTAGTACTATAATAATGCAGCATAGTGCCGCTGGTAATCTAGATAGGGAAAGCGAGTAATACCAAGTAAGTCCACTTAATCGTGGTCCATATTGATGTTCGTGTTTCAGAGATTACTAACACTGCAGCAGAACATGTATGATTTAGAAATAATCATATATACAACGTGTTAGTAATTTCTTAATAATAATTTGTAATGTTTTCTATATCTACGCATAACAACACTTATCTAAATTTAAATTAAATTTAAAGAGGAAAGATTTTTCGTTTGCTCGTTTGCTTGTACCGAAAAAGCTCCGAAACTACTGTAGCGATTTAGATGTAATTTGGTAAAATGATAGTTTGAGACCTTGAAAAAAATATAGAATAGCTTTTATCCCGAAAATCATTATTTAAAGGGGTGAAAATGAAAGTTGGTATGGGGAATCAACCTAGGAACGAACCCGAGCGAAGCGGGCGTGAGTCGTTAGCTTAGAAAAAATTACATACCTACATCATGTTAGTAATTTCACGCCCTTTTCATTTCAAAATGTTTTCTATATCTATACATTATAATCAAGAAGTAAAGAGCTTTTTGATGTATATGTTACCAAAAAAATTTGAGCAAAAATAGTAAATTCTACCGTATCCGTACTTTAATGATAAAGGAGGGTTATTGTTTGATTTATATGTAAATATGTTTGTATATTTTTTTGTATTGTCTGGTTTCAGAATAAAGGGGTTTTTATTATTATATGTATGTATGTCTTTATTACTAAATTCGTTATTGATAAACAAAGAAGCAAAGAAACCTCGGTGGACGGTGTACTCTGCGGGTTACTTCTGATACTTCTCTGATAGTAAAGGGGACCGTGGAACCCCATGGTTGTTGTAGTTTGCTTCGGCAGGCCTACTGTCGCGCACGTCATTTCGGGACATCGCGGTAGAGTGCGTAAGCAATTCTAGAATGCCCCATTAAGACAGGGAAGATTCAGTTGGGTTTTAGTGGGTAGTATTGGCTTTGCCGGTGACTCCGAAAATCTTAGAGTGCCAGCCTTACAGTACGTAAATGCATTTTTCAGCGTTAAAAAAAAGTATAACATAATATATGTACATGTTATAGCCCCAACTGAATGTTCCTACGTTTTTTCCACCTTTTAGTTTGCATTTTACGATTTTTTTAGTTTCAATTTTTAATTCAATTATTAAAAAAAACAAGAAGAAAGATTATAGAGACGTTTCTGTAAAATCAACCCCTAAAATGTTAAAACACGTTTATTATAATTGAAAAAGACAATTAAAATAAAACCCCTATAAACGGGAACAAGGCTAAACAATATTTTAACTGTATATTTTTAACATAGAAAAAGCATTGCGAGAAATGTACTACAATGATATTTGAGTTTCACATTTAAATGATTTATTTTATCGGTGCAATGTTTTGTTTAAAACGTTGTATTTTTATCATCCGGCATCTGTCGAAATTATTCAAAGGCTAGCACTAAAAGTCTAGAGACCCAGCTAGATTGACGGACGCTACTGAGCCCCCCACGACAAGACGCATTGGAGAGGGTGGGAGGGGGTGGGGGGGGAGGTGTTGGTGTAATACAACCCACAACAACTCATCATAACTAAGTATATATAGTCTATTTATTCCATACTAACTGTTAAAACGTACCTATATGGACGAACCTGAGCGAAGCGAGGATGAGTCGCTAGTAATAGATAAATAGAATACTTTCAAGCTTCCCGTACTAAATACGGATTTCAATTTCTTATAAATATTATTTATAATATTGTTCAAAATATGTCGTACAATTTATATAAAACTAACGCTCGGGCCTTTTTACTTGTTACTTGTTCTGACTACACCACAGTTACTGATTTAACTATATTGATCAATGGACATGGAAAATTGACACAGATTAATTAGATAGTATCACTCTTTTATAAACAAAATCAACAAGTAAACTTTATGTATGAAAAGACAAATAAACAGACTGACAAACAAAAAGATAATATATTATTTTCTTAATATATATAATAAGTAATAAAAAGCTAATTAATTACTTAAAAGTCGTTTTACATGATTTTAAGTTAGACGAAAAAATAATTCGTTGTTATTAATAAAATTTTATTTTTAAACTATAAAAAATATAAAATCTCAATTGTAATAAAATATAAAAAGAAGTTCTTTTGAACAGCGGAAACAGAAAACTTTCTTCTTATTTTTCTCATATTATAGAAGGATAGCAATATACAGGATAAGCTAAAGCCAAGCTTTTCACAAAGCACTCAAAAGCTTTCATAAAAATGCCACAACAGACACATTGAAATATAACAGAATACTATAATATACATTTATTAACTACTATACCCTGATAACTATGTACGAATAAGTTATATTTCTAACCGATTTCCAAAAAGGCGGAGGTTCTATGTTCGTATGTATGTATTTTTTATGTACAATGTTTACTGATTTCTCGGAGACGGCTGGACTGATTTTATTTTATTTTATTTTATTTTATTTTATTTTATTTAGGTACAGAAACAGAAAACAAATTAAAAAAATTACATCTTCGTATTAAAAACTAAAAATATCATATTAAATTTGCTGTCCAATTATATCTGTACACAACATTCAAATAAAAACATATAATAATTATATTAACAAACTTAACCAGAAGGTGAATATTACAGTATGAGTCTGTGCATTTAAAGTAACGAGTAAGGTTTGTTAGTTTAAATTGTATTCTAGTGAGATAGATCGCGACGTAGTCCTGTAGTAGTAACTATTGACGAGCTTTTTATCATAATATTTTTATTAGATAACGCTAAAACTCGTCAATAGCTACAAAGCAAAAAAAAAGGTTATCGGTTGACAAAAAGAAAAGAAAAGGGTACTGAACTGTCTTGTCTTTGCCTATTTATATATAAATATTTTAAATCTGTCAACCCGCATTTAGCCAGCTTCGTGGGCTAAATGTGGCCTGATCTCTCTTGCATTACAGAAAACTCCATGCCCGGAGGTGGGCTTTGTGTCAGTGTGGGCATTAAAAGGACTGAATTATTATGATTATAAGCAAATTATAGTCCTTATCCAGAATAAACGTGTAATTGAAGACGATGACCGGATTATTTAGAATCAGGGTGACCATAAATTAAGTCTAATCCAAAAGCCGGGTGTCTGGCAAAGTTAAATCTGCTTATCTTCTCCAATGTCATAAATATTTTACTTTTACGTAAAATATGCGGTCTTGTTTTTTAACAAAATGCTGTGTTTATTTGAATTGTTATCTTTACCTATAATAAAATTACACTGAAGTCAGAAATGTGTACATATTTTT